TATGTAAAACTAATTATCAAAATTAAAATTTTAGACTGTAAGAAACTCTATTGAATCAGACTTTTGTGTGAATAATAAAACCATTTGTTTTACAATCCAAACAATTATAAGCAATTATAGCTGTACAATTTTATAAAGGAGTATAGTGGGGTGAAAAATTTTTTCACATTGTAACTAAGCCCAGCACTACTTTTCAACTAGTTAATATACTTTGTAAAATAATAAAAATGTTTAAACTTAAATTTTATGCATAACCAATAAAATAATGAACGGATACACTACAATAAGAAGCAATAAGTAAAAATCAATAAATGATGAAGCGAAATACCTTTAAAGCGATAAAGAACGTGAAACGTAAAAAAAAACTACAGAGATTTTTCTATGAAAAGGAATTTCTCAAGCTGCAACAATTTTACAACTCTTCTCAACAACCTGTACCACAGCTTCTCCAATTACCTCTACATGTATCTTGAGCAAGTGATTATTGAATGATGGCACGTCTCAAATTCCCAATAATTGATTAAGATGTGTCCAACTCATACCAGCGTTAACAAGTGCTAAAGTAATATAAAATTCTCGATTTTTAGCAATTATTTTAATTCACTTAAAATAATTGCTAAAAATCGAGAATTTAACTGAAAATAAGAAAAACNTAACTAGTGAGATTCACGCATTAACTTCATACATTGTTTTGCCATAGGGGGCTGTAAATTTTTTATCAATGTTGATAGAGTTTTCGAGCAAACATTCATGACAATGGATTGTCATCAATAAAGCTAGCCCATGCCAATTTTCCTTAATAATATTTACAAAAGATAAAATCTGCTCACATCCTTTGCACCTGTCATTCTCAGTCCATAAATCTAAATTAATTATTCCGTGACCAAATACAATTTTTGAAGTAAGAACTTCTTTAGGCACCCCTCGGTTGAGGATTAAAACGGTAGAAACGTACGTACGTACGTACGCACATACATATATATATATATACTGCAGCTCGGTAGCGCTCGAGTCTCATCGTTCGCCTTCGGATTCCGATATATGTATATAGTCAGCATGTAGTGTTATGCATATTCTTATCGCCATGATGCCGTGCCCTAGTGTGTTACTGTGTGCAGTGTCCACGTATACAATGTAATATGTATAGTGTATACATGCACGTATGTATGTGTGTGTAATTTGTTTACAGAAACAGAATTATGAATGCAACCATGAAAGTGTCCATGTACGATGAGTGTATGTGTATGTTCTTTTTACTTTTACTGTCCAAGTGTATAACTGTGTACATGTTTGCCTGCGCGCATGTGAATAGAATATAGTAGTTAATATTAATACTATATATACTAGTTAATATTATTATTTCAACTAATGAAGTACATTAACAAATAATTTTTGCGTGTATGGTCGATCAATCCAGATAGCCAGTATTGATTAAACGAGTTTTTATAATATGGTATAACCTCCAAATATTACAAAATACGCCATATCTTTTAAAGAAAGAAAGATAGAGCAAAAATAGCAAGTTTTACAGTTTTTCTTAAAGGAATTAATACATCGTGACGCACAAAAAGAGAAAGCGTTGAGTTATTAAAATACATAATCTCAATTTTTGATGTTTTCGATGTACCTTTATAAAATAAAGAGGGAAAATCATGGAAAAAGTTGCATTACATTTAGTACAGGATAACAATAATGCAGAAATAAGTTTCTATGGTTATGTGTGCACATAACCTTCAGCACCATTATCATTATTTGTTGTCTCTACTTTAAAATTCATAGTTTTTTTTGTTCATACTTTTTATTACTACGATAAGAACTTATTTTTCATTAAAACAGGAAAACTAATACAAAGCAGCCAAGATTGAGCATCAGGCGTAGGTAAGTTTACGAATCAAAAAGGAAGATGGTGTGCAAAATACAATCATTATTACCTGTGCGTTCTTATGTTATTTGAATTTCTAAAAATATCAAATCCGATATAACGATTTGCAATACATGCACGAAGTATGAGTTGTCATGTTGTTTGAATAGAAAAACTTTATTCTGACCAAATGTAGGACAGCAGTAAAACGATTCACGTATTTGATAATAATAATAACCAATAATGAGCAATTTACCTTTCAAGCCAAATTCGAGATTGTAAAATTTTCTAATCATAATGGTTTTCTTAACAACATTTAAAAAATATACAAAATTAAAGAAATTTTTTGAACTGACCAAATAGATGAAACTTAAGTATTCATACAAGTAACACGCATAACCTTAACTCAGTAAATGATAGAAATATTCCATTTTACCTATCAGTATCGATAAGGTAGTAAGATAAAAAAATGTGTTAACCATTATTACCTAGATTTATAGATAGCGCATACAAAACAAGCCTTACACTCAATAGTATTAGGTACTCAATAGTATTAGGTATATGTTCTCACAGCTAACACTAAAAATGTAGCGATTGGCCATAATCATAATTATACGCCATTATTGTGTTCAATATTATCATAACTATTCTCGTCAACATTATGATTAGAAATTATCTCGTAGTTGACTCAACGCATGTGGTTAGCATGTTAGCCATGGGAACAACACAGCTTAAAATGTCGTGAGTTAGATTTCTGGGCAGAGCATATGTACCAAGGAAACAAGTAAAAAAATTAAGATTAGAAAGATATACAGTAAGATAGATCGAATAAAACGTAATAAAGGATTTAAAAAAAAGTAACCCAACTGACCTTCTCCAGGTTTGCGGTCTAGACCACTAGCCGAGATGGCACGCTTTTTACTGCCAGCGTCGAGTTCACGCTCAGAAGAACGTCTCGTAAGGGGTTGAAGTCCCGAGGAGCTGGAGGTAAACAAAGACATCATTACATTGCTGGTCGACGTAGCCCGCCGTGTACCCCAGAAACTAGCACCAGTACCCCCAGTGTCTCCAGGTTCGAGCATACGAGGCGTCGAGCTTCCGAATGCGAACACAATATGTGAACGCTCGTTTTTCCGCTTAGCCTCGATGCGTGCCTCACGTGCTTGGTTTTTGCGTATTATTGCTTCACGTCGTTCTTGGTCTGCTTCATAAATTTGGCGCTTACGCTCTTCTACCTGACATCGCCTAAAAAATTTTAAAAATACAAAAATTAACAGAGTGGGCTTATCATTATTGTTATCATCGTCATTAACATCACTACCATTATAAATGCGACCTCTGTATTATGTAAAGAAGTCGAGATACTATAAAAAAATTTTTTTTATAAAAATTAAAATTCTTTTTTTTAAATAATTTTTTTCTTACTTACTAAGAAAAAGACTAGGAAATCCGAATACTACAAGTCCAACTAAAAAACAGGCATAAATAGTACCCCTTTGGACCACTGAAAGAACTAGTTTCGTGTTGACAAAGAAAGTTTGAAACTATGTTCATATCATAGCCGATAGAATGCACTGAAAGTTGTACCTCACGATTTGGAAAGTAGCGTTGCAACGCGTCGGTAGATAGCTCAGAAATGATTGAAGATATTCTAACCGCGATAAAAACTGTTAAAGGTTTCAATGAATGTAATTGTAGCTAGTAGCATATAAGGGAGCCCCTACGGAATTAAAAGCCAAAAAAAGGTGTGCTTATCATTTTTAAAAATTGACATAAAAAACTTTTTCTACATTGCTTCATGAAGCAGTAGTGGGACACTTTTATTTTAGCATGAACCTACACTAGGATATGATAGTACCAATAATGGAACAAATCACAATTGTAGATGAATAATTAAAATATTAAACAATGAAACTATCTAAAGAAGTGGTTGATTCTCACAAATTTATTTAAATGTACTGAAAGCATGCAAAATTACAAAGTAAAGATAACAACATTTGAACTTTTTTCTTTGTTTATTTTTCTTTTTTAAACTAAAGCCTAAACTAAACCTCCATATTAAATAGCTATTTTTGAAATTTTATAATTTTGCGTTTACTTCATTTTTTGTCTACTACATGACTTCTATTGTCTTTACTATCCTTTGAATTTATGGATTTGGAAAATTTTTGTATTTCTGATTTAATATTCCTGATTTTCCGTTGTTATTTGACCAACAAATTTCACATATAACCTCTAAAAACTGCCAGAACCATTCTTTTGTAGTGAAACAGCATCTGGAAAGTAAACTAATGATTCCTTTGTAATGTACCCTTTGTAATTGTATGTTGACCCGCAACCTCTGATACTACGATTGAAAAAGAATATTTCACCGGCTGATTTCCCACATAACCTCAAGCAACTGCCAGATACTATGTTGTTTAGTGGTAATAGCTTTGAAAAAAAAAAAAAAAAAAAAAATGGTTATCTCTTCTAGAATAGTCTGGTCAAATGAATTTTGACCCTCGAAATCCAAATATGACATTAAAAAGGAGATTTTTGTAAAGGAATGATCTGTGTAAAGGATTTTCATGACATTTTTTATTAGGTCGCGCATCTCTTTTTAACATCTAGCAATTATCCGCCATCATACTAATGCTCCAATTTCCTTGCCACTTAAGTTTAAATTCTTTTATATCTTGATGAAATCTTTCACCTTGCTCGTCACTAAAACCTTCAAGAGTTTTCGGAATTCATTAATGTGGAAATCGAAGAAGTGAAGTTTCAAATTCATTAAACAACCTAAGTTTCTAAAGTTTGCAACCATTTTATAAACGATGTTCTTATAGTTTTCATCTTCAGTATTCCATAAAAATTTTGTTGCAACATCTTTGAAGCTCAACCAAACAGTTTTCTTAGACTCATTCATACTTTTTACAAACTCTTTGTCTCTAAACATTTTCCGAATTTGAGATCCATCAAAGATTCCTTCCTTTAATTTAACCAAAATTACATTTTTTAAGATTTTCTTAGAAGTTACTGGACATTATCCTGTATGCTACACTAAATTTGAAAGCACAATGTAGCGTAACAACTACCAAGTGTTCTGACACACTTTTACGGTTATAAAAGTATGGTGCGACTCTGTCGTTTGACTGTAAGTTTACACTAATAAGATCCTTAGAGGAATAGAGGAAGGGTCCAACTCTGCACACCCATGTTAATCAATATATATCCAATATGTATAGATATACAAAAAATATAGTGTATAGAGTTGTCATAAACGCGACGACATTACTCCTGATTAACATAACCTTACCCACTAAAGATCGAGCACCCAACTCTTTCTTTTCTTACGTCTATTTTAGATCTGAAGAGCCTGTATACCTGGCGTTAAGTTTTAGTTAAAACCTCACTATAAATCTGGCACTAAACGCTCACTGGACCATAATATTCTACTACCGATTGGCAACCTTGAATACCTGCGCAACTTTTACTACTATGGCATCAGAAAGTTGTGGAATTATTTGCCCTTAAATATACGAAAAATTTATTTAACAACCGTGCCTTAAACAGGCAATGTATGTGCACTACAAGTCTAAAATGCACAACTGTAAATAACTGGTAATCTAGTAGTAAGTATCCTATTTGTCAAGTATTGTTACATTTACATCTCATGATACATTTTTATTGTTATCAAGTTTTCAACCACACTAGGGTACGTATTCTTTAGCCTTTTTATAGCTGTATACTCAATAATGTAATATCTCCGTAAACTACCAAGGCTACACAAGAACTAAAAGCTTTTGCTCCGTAATTTTTGAGTATCACGAATAGATTTAAACTCTTTCTCTCATACTGATCTGTTTTGGCTCCAGATAAGTCGTCATTATTGAGTAAAGCAAAAAAAATGCATATATTTTTCCCTATATTATGTAGTTCTTCTGACACGACTGTCCGAACCCCTCACCGAATTATTCCCCCCCCCCCCAGCTCTACCACCACCGCTCCACCGCAAAAGAAGGGAAAATTCTTACGTTTTCTCCCTTATTTTTATATATATCATTTGTTATTGAGCCCCCCGCACATCCTTCACCACCCCACGCAACCTGTGTCATGACAAATCCTGCTGCCCCTTACATTAATTACTATTAAACATCTCCTTAAATAAGGTTCCTCATTCAAACTAAACTGTTAACATTTTCTTTAAGCTTTTAGTTCCTCTTTATTATATTTTGTCCAGGAATCTACATACTACTAAGAGTCAGAATAATAGTGTTATTTTTGAAAATGTATAATTTATCATGTTTTTCATTATACAAAGTAGGAAAAAAGATTGGCTTTATTTCATTTCTGATAAGATATGTTAAACTCAAGAGATTACTATTATACGCAATTAATACTTGTAATAACACTTGAAGGATTGTCTTTACTCGTTTACCTCCTCCATCTTATACTTAGTATTTTAAATTTTTACTTTAATGACTGGAATATATTTTATGTTTGCTTTTAATTCTAAAGTAAGTCTTATGTAATTAAAAATAAATATAACTTCCATGCTAGCCTTGACGCTAACAGATTAACTTAATACTCATGAATTCCAAATAGTTTGATACACTATTTTTATATTGTTTTATGAGTCTTTTAAAAAAATGTATTAATAATACAATATTTTAGTTAATGTTTTTTGTAGATAAATTCGTTACATGGCTTAGGTATTGAACGTGCACCAACAATTATTATTTTTTATTTACATTTTAATAAGAACTGTTATTCTACACAACATTTTCCATTTCATAATTATTGTCACCTTCAATTTATGTTGATATACAATTATTAGTTTTGCATTGTAATGGCGCTACGTAGAATTATAATAAACTTTGACAATGTTGGTTTCTATTAATAATTATTAATAGATCGTCAAAATTTGTTCTTGTGTTTTATTAAGATAGAAAATGCGTTAACCGAATTATTCAAGCAAGTGAATTGTGTCATTTAACATATTATGACAGTCTTCAGGGCCGTGGCTGTATGCTTTTGTAACGGTAAAAATGTTAGTCAATGAACTAGTTTTTGTTTTGTACTGACCTACCATAGTTTGAAAAAACTAGAATAAAGTACAAATTTTGAAGATTTGTACAGTATTTTTCATAAAATTAGTTTAATTTGTTACGTATATCTTTAAAAACTATTATTGCCGTATCTTATGACAAGCCCATGTTGAAAACATATTTTTAACTTAAATATCTTGAGAACATACCAATACGTTACTTTAAAAAAAATTTCTATAACATAAAAAAATTTACTGTATGACATATTTTAAATTTAAAAAAATTTGATTCGTCAGTGGCGACGGATTTTTTACCTCAATTGCCATAGCAAATACAAAAACTAAAAAACAAAACATTTTCTTTGTAGTGTAGAAGGTGAGGATGATAAATAACCTCTATTTCAAGTTATTATTAGTACAAAAACTTTTTTTCAACAGATTTTATTCAATTATTGTTTCTGCTCTAATATTTTACTAGAATAATGTTGTGACTTGCAAATGTGTACAATTGCACAATTCGTCACGTATACTAAAATTCTAATTAACATAACTGTTGCTCCAATTTCTGAATAAACTTCGTAGGGTAGGGGACCTTTACAAATACTATAAAAAACTTTGGTCAAAAATTTATATCAATATGACTGTTACTAATGTCATCTTCGTAAATTTTACGATCTGTACCATAGTAAATTGACATATTCTTGTTTAGTTGATTCAAAACTTTATTATTTAAGAAAAAAGTACATGTGTAACGAGAAGTCGGTATGAGATTATTAATGACAATAAGCGTTATTATTTTCCCAACGACTAAGAATTTTAAATACTATAACAAAATTTATATCTATTGAATAGATAGTTTCAAAATATAGATATTTTTTTGTAAAAATGACGATTTTATCTTTTCAGCTATTACCAGACATCTATTATTATTTTTTTATGAGGCAGCATTTGGTGAAGATTTCCTCCTACCACAATTAGTCTCTAAAACGTGTATTTATATTACACTGATCACACAAAGTCTTGTTTAGTATTTTTAAGACTTTTATTCGAATCCTGGACGCCTCATCCTTAACTTTTAAATTAACTTTGAGTTATACTTTTTTTGGAATTTCATCTCAAAAACTACACTTTCTAAATTGTTGAAGTCCAAAAATAAACAAAAGGTTAAATGACTTGTCATTCCATCTAAAAACAATATCGATAAGATACCAGTCGA